TTTGGTTCCCTCTCCCCTCCGGGGGCTGCCCCCAGCTGGAAGGGGAGCGGCTGGCTCGGGGGCCAAGCCCCCCAGCTCCTGCAGCCAGGGCAGGGCAGGCTGGCATATATTTGAACATCCGAGCGGAGATTCAATTATATGCACTACTTCATTTATTTAGCTGTCCAGTCGCACTGATCAGACTTGGAAATTAAGAGGCATGCGGTTAGAGGGATCCTGTCAAATCACATTTAGCCCAGCTCTTCCCTGCTTGGATTTCAAAATGCAGCTTTTTTACATGACCTGCAGCTACAAAACAACTTTCTGCTACTCTTCCTAAAGGATAATAATAATAAAAAAAGATCCAGTGGAAAAGGGTGAGGGCAAAACCAGTTCCCCAGCTCTATTTCCAGCTTGAACTTTGTAGCCTTAAGTCTCCAAGCATTTTAAAACCCTCGCCCTCTTAGCAGGCGGTTGCGAGGGTGCTGGGGCAGGAGCAGCTCACTGCATGGCAGGGGCCTCGGGGGAGCTGGAGGAAGGAGGACGGGAGACGACGGTGCAGGATTTTGCAGTTATTTTTCTAGCTGAGGGCCAGCAGGATTTGCAAACCTCCTCCCCCAGTTTGGGACAGAGCTAAAAATGCCTCTCGCCACACCCTGCGCTCGCATGCACCCTCACGTGCCGGCATCGCGGCCTGTGTGGGACAGATAAGGCCGTGTCGAGAAGCTGCATGTGAGTCCGTGCGGAGCAATCCTGCCACCCTGTCCCTGCGGGGAGGGGACCCAGGGAGCCACTGGCCAGCCCATCCCGATGTCATCTCAGCTCCAGCATCCTCTGGGATCAGCCCTGCAGAGAGGTGCAGCAGGGGGTGAAGCTTCCCCCTCCTTATTTCACCCCAAGGGGGGGAAAAAAAAAGTCCCTCAGCAGTTAATAACCACAAAGCTGGGGCTGCCCACAGCGTGCAGGGAAGCATCCTACCCTGCAGCTGGCTGGGAGGGAGCAAACCATCCCTGGGCTTCTGTCCCAGTGGGGAAATCCAGCCCCCGCCGCAGCAGGAAGCTGCCAGCAACGGCCACAGCGTCGCGGCGTCAGCAGCACTGTGGGACCTGGCCCTGCTGCAAGCCCCTGTTTTGGGGGACCCCCTCGCCAGGATCATCCCCTCACCTTGCGGAGGTGATGCTCTGCGGAGAGGGGATGCAGTTGGCATGCCCCAGTCCGTCCCAGCCTCACGCCAGCCAGGTCACCGGGCAGGACAGCCCTGTTGCCCGCCAGCCTGGCATGCGTTCCCTGTGCCCAGAGAGTTTCCAGAGGGATGCGGGGACATGACGGAGCAGCTGGGGCTGCTGACAGCGGAGCTGTGGCAGCGTGGTCCCTGCCCGAGCATGGCCAGGACATGTGTCCCATGGGGGGACATGGGTGGAGGGGGGAGAGCAGAGTTTGTGCAGTGGCAGCAGCTGGAGCCCCTTCCTCCTGCTGACTCAGTGTCTGCTCTGCTCGGCCTTTGAGGTTGAAAGCAACCGCGCTGTGCCGGGAAGTGGCTGAGCCTCGCCGAGATGCCAGAGGCCAGCTGGCATTGCGCAAGGGAAAGGGGATGCTGCTGAAATCTGTCTCCCCGCCTCCCCCTGCCTGAGTATCCCCACTGCTGGGCTCTGGCTCTGAACCAGCACCCTCCGCTCCTGCCCTGGGAGCCTGGGCCCAGCCTGGTGCTGCTGGTGTCACTGGTCCTGCACGGAGATCACATCCCCATCCCAGTTCACAGCCTGGTACCAGCAATCTGTCCCTGGTGAGGGAGCTGCAGCATCCCTCCATGCCCTGAGCAGGGTTCACCTTTTCCCCCCAGCCAAACAGAGAGTCCTCGGGGTCCTGGCTGTACCCCACTGCCCAGCGGAGGCCACGGGTCTGGGCAGGAGTTTCAGGCAAGACCCAGCTGCAGCTCTGGGTGCACGTCAGAAACAGCGTGGCTGTGGCTGATTGGAAACATTGTGAGGTTAAAAAATGGATTTCGGCTCTTGAAGTGCCTTGTGCTCTTGCTCTGCGTCCTCCGTGAGGGAGGGAGGGAGCAGGAGAGAGGAAAGCCCCCCCATCACCTGCCTCCGGTAGCTGGGGCTTGAGCACCCCCGCCCCTGTCCTGGGGGCTTGGCTGCATTTGTCAATAGGGGACTTCAGTGCTGGTGGTGACTGGGGAAGGCTCTGGAGGGGAGGGGAGCAGGGCCAGTCCAGCCCCAGGGTTGCTGCCCGCTATCCCTGACCCAAGATGGGGCGACCTCTGCTCACTGCATTTCACCACCATCCCTGAGGGCAGCTGGTCCCCTCAAGTCTGGCGTCCACTGATAAGGGGCCGGGGAGGGTGGGGGACAGCCAGTGGGTTTCTCTCGCGCGTATAAGGAGGTGGCCCGGAGGGTGACAGCCTCACCGGGTCATCCCCAGGGGAGGAAAATCAACCTGAGGGTGCCGAAATCTTCAGAGGACTGTGTGCTCCCCAGGGCTGGGATAGGCACGGCGATGGGGTGCTCCAGGCGTGTCTCCCCGCGGGGCAGCTCACAGAGCTCTGCCAACCGGCAGGGAAGCCCCGGCGTGGCCGTGTCCAGGGTGACGCTGGGTGTCACCCTGGGGAGGTGACACATGTGGGGACCTCCATCACCCTGGGCTCCCCTCTGTCCCCTGCCTGTACGTTCAAAGAGCTCAAATCAAAGTGTGCAGACAAGGCAGGGGCAGGCGGGTGGCCCCAGCCCCCCCTGCCCTGGGCTAGAGGGGGGTTCCCGGCCCGGGCCAGTGCCGGGAAATGTCATCTGCTTTGGTGACTCAGCTCCTGATGGAGCAGCTCTTTCTGCTGAGTCAGCAGGAGCAGCCCCCGCACTGTCCCGCTGTGCCCACACGCCCAGGCAGGCCCCCGCTACCCCTGGGGGCCAGGTCACAGCTTAGGGGGCCCAGAGCTGGTGGGGGGACACCCCCCCACACCCCCAAAACTGGCTTCCCCCTGCAGGGCCGGGGCTTTCCAGAGGCACTGCGGGAGCTCAAGGCACGCTGCCCTGCTCATTTTGGGGCTTGGGGTGCCTGGGCAGCACCCAGGGGTCCTGTCCTCGAGCACACTGCCACCAGGTCCCCCAGGTGCCATCTCATTGCTCCCCTCCCTGCACCTCCCTCCCGGGCAGCTGCAGACTGGGCTCACCCCGTCCCCCTGCACAGGGACTGCTGGGCTTTGGGGGGGGGGTGTGCTGGAAGCAGGCGGGGGGGCAGAGGGATGCAGACCCCTGCCAGGCTTGTAATTACAGCCTGCCCAGGGCCTCACACCCGAAACCTGAGCCCCGTGGGGAGCAGGGGAAGCAGAAGCATCCATCTGCCAGCGCAGGTGTCTGTCCTGGCCCTGCTCCATCTGCAGTGGATGAGGGGAATTGGGACCTCGAGTCCCCCTGGCTCTCACCCCACTGTGGCTCCCTGCGCACCGGGGGACCGAGCTGTGTTGTGAGCTGTGGGGTTCAGCCGGGAAAATTCACAGTGTTTGGGGCCAGGTGCCCCCGGGGAGGCTGGGTATCAAACCTCCCCTTCGCTTCCACGTTTCTTTCCTCGTGCCCGAAAGCGCAGCTGGCAGCACCCCGCAGCCCTGGGATGCACAGGGATGCTTGGTGCTGCAGAGCCCCGGCTCCACTGCCCATTGCTGGGTTGCTGCGAGGCTCCGGCCTGGGCGTGAAACATCTCTGCTGATTGTGGCGGAGCTCAAGATGAGTCCCTGCAGGACCCCATGTCCCCGTCTCTGCCACCACCCCTGCTTTCCCAGAGGGGACCCTCTATCCCTGCTCACCTCTGGGATGCAGGCCAGGGAGCTTGTGGGGATGGGGGGCAGCTCCCCTGCCTGCGGGGCTGTGGCAAATGCTGCCCTGGCTCACAGAGCCCTGCTGGGGCAGTGCCACGGCCCCACCAGCCTGAGCCCCCTCTCCCCCCGCCCAGGCGGCAGCTATGGGGTGCTGC